AATTGACTCAATTTAATAATAGGTTAGCTAGATAGTTATTTTTTTTTAAATTCAACCCTAGTAGTGGGCACATTTCCTAAAAAAAGTTCAACATCTGTAGCTGTATTAAGTGTTTCAAACTAATTAATATAATTAAATCTCTTTTGAAAATTGAATCTTGACTTCCACTTCCTGAAATGTTATAAACTAAACAACCTGAAGATATTTCCATTAATGATCACCCAGAAGTGTCTATAAAACATAATCAATATTGTTTTAATTGCCCAGCTGAGCTTGTAAGAAAGTATGAGAAATCCCTAGGGGCCCAAAGTAAAACAACTGAATACCAGATGGAACCTTGAGTAGTGAATGCAAACAGAATTCTAAGAGATAAATTGAAGTTGGTGTATCCTGGGGGTGGAGGGGTGGGGAAGGAGTAAGGAAAGGGGTGTCTACACTTGGTAGACAAGGGATTTGAATTTTGATGCCAAACTGGTTCATGAGAAGAAACATGGACAATGGAATGCAGAGATCTATTTCTGTATGTCATCTGTCTATCCATCTACCTACTTACCTACCTAACTGCTTTTCAACCTATCTATCACATATGCATTCTAGAAAGAAACAGAAAATGGAGGACAGGACATTTTCAATGAAATAACATTTGGAGAATTTCCACAATTTATCAAAGACATAAATCCTTAGATTCAGAAATCTCAGCAAGTCTCAGTGAAACAAATCTACTGCCAGATACCTGTGAATTTAAACTGTAGCGCCGAAAGAGAAAATATTTTAAATGCAAACAGAGAGAAAAATACATATTATCTTCAAAGAAAGGAATAATTAGAAAACTTCGTCAAAATAACTTCAAAATTATTAGAGAAAATAACTGCCAGTTTGGAATCCTATGCCCAGAAATAATCATTGAAATGTGAGGATAAAAATAAAAACACTTTTAGACAAATTTAATTAGCCATGAACAGAGTTTTAGCAGAAGAATCCCCTTAGGAAATAAGATCATTTAATTCAGTAGGAAGGCACAAAAAACAAGAAGGAATAGTGAACAAAGAAATCAGTGTTTCTCATTGAATAGGTGGGATTTTCATAATGGTTGGAAAGCTCACCTGTTTCATAAGGAACACTAAAATAAATACTGACCAAAAAGTGGATCACTAGGTAAAGCAAATTGGTATCAAACAAATCATTTTCTTTGATAATTATGCATTGCCGTTACTTAGAAATTAGAAATAAGAGATGACCCCCTGACAATACATGTACACACACATTTGGAAAGCCAAAACCAAACCAAGCCAAATCAAATGAATGAAATTTTCTTTTAAATCATACATAGGCCAAATGAGAAATAACAATAATAATTGGAAATTATTTGGAATTGAACCATAATGAGAATATAATATATGAAACTTATGGGATACAGCTAAACTACTACTTACAGAGAAATGTATAGCTTTAAATTATTATACCAGAAAAGGAGACCAAAAAAATGGAAAATTAATGAGCTAACACAGGAAACTAATGAAAGAACTACAGTTATGGAAATAAAGTTATTTATAAATAACTATAAATATTTATTCTATTTCTGGCTAGAACTTAAAATGCAAACTCAAAAGCAGTTTAATTTAAAATATTGATCAAATGAGGGGCTGATAGACATGTTTTGAGAAGATAAACACTCAGCTAGACATTACAACTTGATATATTGAGTTTAAGTTTAAATTTTTTATTTTAGAAATAAAGCAAATGAAAGTCTAACAGACTAACCTTAAAACACATTGCAGAATTTAAGTTTGACTTGAGAGACGAAACCTAGAGTGAATGGGGAGAAAATAATAAAGATAAGAATAGGAATACTTAAAGATAACATTAGAGAGGATTAATAAAATCAAAAGTAAACTCTGGAGAGATTAATAGAATAAAAAGAAATCTGCCCATATCAACCAAGAAAAAAAGAACCAATAAAAGAGTGAGAAAAATGAAAAATGTTTAAAATTAGAGAGCCCTAAGAACAATTTTTTAACATTAGATTTTAAAAAATCAGACAATATGGATAATTTTCCTAGAAATATATGCTTAATAAGTCTGACACATGAAGATATAGAAAACTGAATAGATCTATAACCATCAACAAATTAGGTTGGTAATAAAACCTATTCACTGAAAAGCCATGTCAACATCATGTGATTTTGAAAGTAAATTCTACTCCTTTAAAGTGCTGGAAAAATCTCCATCTTTTACAGACTATTTCAGAGACTAGCAAAAGATGGAATGCTCTTCAACCCATTTTATGTGACTAGTTTAACATCAGTAATAAAACTAGACAGGGACAATAAAAGAATGAAAGGATTTAGACCAATCTCACTTATTAATGTAAATAGAAAAGTCTGAAATGATATAGTGACAATGTGTATCCAGTAGAGTTTAAACAAATAATACTATCTTTGGGGTTTGTCCTAGAATACAAGCGTTGCTAAATTTTAGATAATTCTA